TATATATATATATATATAAAGATATACAGTCGTCTATCATTACAAATGTCACAAGCGTACCCGTTGCATTTACCGTAAGATCAGTGTATGATTGGCACCGTTTTCATGCGTTAGTTTTCTTCACGCGCAATTAGGATTAATGACCCTAAAAGCTGATGTGAGAGGCGCTCATCTCATGTGACCAGCACATGCTTCGCACATGCAAGGGGAAGACAAAACTCACATGCAAACCACATTCTGTCAGTTCGTCAAAACCCTTCTGAACAACAAACTGCACACATAAACACCCAATTATGCATCAGTTTCAGATTAAGTATCGTACGTACGAATGACTATGTTATTCTGACGCCAACAGGCAGATTGCATTCAAGACCATCACATGTTGTTGTCTTTACCGTAATAGGGTGGTGCGTGTGAAAATCTGACCTACTACGCATCCTTGGTACACTCAGTTCTATGTCCATTTTCATTCCCCTATTCAGCCGATTCGACCGGTACCACGCTGTATCGACAGTATCGATTATTCTCTCCTCTAAATTCAGTTCTGCGCTACTTGACTGCCCTCTCTACGCTTTCACTGTGTTCTCTATTAATGTGATCATAAAAGACGGTCGAACAGGACGTTGTAAAAGTCGACTGATTATGTCATAACGTCTTTTGTGTGCTGTTTTCAAATTGCGCAATCGGAACCGCGTATTTATAGAGGGCTGTGCAAAACTGATGTAAAACAGGAACAGCCCCAACGCCTTCACATTCAATGCTTCGTATGACCATCGAGGATTCCTAAGTACCAGGTCCTAAGACCAAGACACAATAGTAGCAAACGAAAGACGGAAACCTATCTGACCGGTCCTCTATTCACGTCAGGTGGTTTCAATAAGAAAGCCGGCAGACAACTTACGAGTTAGTGTTGGAGGAGCAATAGCAGAGTCATCCATTAGGCGTTTTATGTCTGGTACACTGCTAGATGCCTGGCCTTCATCTTTGGATCCCCGGATCACAGCGGTGCTAATAAGACTGCGCCCGAAAGGTCGGGCAACTGGAGCTCCAAGAGCCACAGCTGTAAAGTAAGCAGTAAAAAAGCTGATGATCACTGAACAGTTCAGGAAAAAACCCATCAGAGTAACTGATGCAAGCAGGTACGGATGAGGTGCATAGACAAAGTATGTGTCTAACAAACACAAAAGTAGGGTCAGCAATAGAAATATCGATCGCTCGTGATCGCCTTGTGGTAAAGAGGAGATCAAGTAGTAAATCCTACTCATAAACTGTACTCTCAGTCAACTAGTGGTTCTTCAGAAAAACCGGATTTAGTGCGCTGGTAACACAGAGCCCTGCAAAAAAGAACCAATCGCATAAGCAGATGCCCCGAATATTCATCGTAAGACTGAGGCACCTCTGAACACATGCTGTGCCAAGTCATCACGCTGACTTGAACCTCAGGGGGGAAATTTTTCCGATCACAGAAAGTTAAGCGTTTACGATCGCAAATCTTCACAGAGTGGGAAGAAGCACGGCCACAATCGTCTTCAAACAAGAGTTTGATGAATTACAGCTGACTTCAACGTTGAGTATTAGACACTATAAAAGGAAACCACTCTCCTCCAGTGTTTGTATTCTAGTTGTCTAGCGAAAAGGAATCTCCACGTCTAGTTCGTATGTTCATGACAGGGAACGTGTCCCTCACGTAGCGATTTACTCGTTGTTGCTGGTTAGGACACGCACTTCACATGTCAGACAACACTATCCCTCACAGAGCTCTTTTTGCCCAGTCCTGTGCTGGGTGGAAGCGAACGTGAAACGCGCAGTTCGCTTGTTAGCTGGTGCGAGGCTGATCGAGTTCTGTTGGTCCAAAACAAACCAGGATAGGACAGTTATCCATCACATTTCGGCCGAAGTCAGTTTACCTACTTGTTCAACCCGCACTATTTCGGTTGGGATCTAGTAGCATGAACAGATACCACTTGTTGCAGGTCAACTAGTCTATGGCGCGAGAACCGACACGGCTGACAGGGTTCATAACGGGATACAGGAACCGAAAGACACTGACTGGAAAATTTGTCGTTGAGGCCCATCATGAAAAATTACAAGGCAGCTCTACACATGTGTAGGGCTGGATATAGAATGATGGGAAGCCATACATGACGATCTGATACTCCAATGAGCAACTGGACCAGAAGATTATTCAGACGTTTTACCAACGGAAAGTGCACACCACCAACGCATTAGTAGTGATTTGTACGTGAGATGAATTCCGTACGTAGTAATACCGATGTGTCAGGTTCCTGTCTGACTAATCGCAATAAGCAGCGCATCTGGTGGTCCCTCTTTTCGTCGCACTATGAGAATAGAGTGATTTCGCTGAGAAATTCTATATGGAACTGTTTGCTCTTAGTGAAGAGTTTATGGTTGTGCGCCATAACGGAACAACACGAGGAAACACAAAGACTATTGGGGCGCAAGCTGTCGTGCTTTTCAAGTATGGTAGAAAAAATATAAAGAAATGACGTGATGGAGTCTAATGCCCAAAGAAAGGTGGTTGGTACAAGGAAGTGTTTCTAACTGGAAAAATAGACGAGCATTTAAGGCTGGTTTATCCGGCTAGAAGAACCATGCAAACAAACTTGCGGCATTCAATATTTCTCACGCAATACTGGACACAAACCAAATGAAGTATTGTTTTAGGTTGTGTATAAAATCGTGTGGGTTAGAAGTTAAAGTTTTGGCAGCCTGGTTCTCGTTTCGATTCGGATATGACCTTTAAATAGGAAATAGCTCGCTGCGAAAAACCATCTGAGGGCTCCCGAATGACGTTTCGCGTAAGCGGGGTTGTTTACCAACATATCCAACACAGAGGTCTGCAGCCACTGCCTACAACGGTGAAATTTAATAACCAAGACACGCACCATTGTGACCGTTCTTTGTCATAATTCTAATGAGGGCCTGAAGTTAAACTGAGAAACCTCCCAAACCCTAGAGTTCAATGTTTGCAAGGAAATCTGTACAAGGGGACGCCTTAGCTTAGAGTCGGTTCATCCATGAATGTCCTTTAATAGAGTTGCACTGTACGTGCAAGTATGTTGAGCTCGAAAACTCCGGTCGCACAAAGGGATGCGAGTTTTGAAGGGTGTGGAACTTCAGTAGTACTTTTGTGAGTAGCAAGGGTTGGAGATATGTGGCTCGGTTAGTGGACTTTCACTTGCATCGTGCAGTCTGCTTCAGGACACGCGACGTCTAGGTGCACTACTATATGTTCCAGGTCAACTGTTATTAGAATATACGTTGATAATTTTGGGTATCATGAAAATCGAGCACAAACGCAGCCAAATTAGTGACTCGTGAAGTTGTAGGCTCTTGGCGACTGTTATAATCTGTAGATTCTCTTAGAACGTTTTGTGGCACAAATCGCACCTGGTCTTACAGCTTTAGGTTGTTTGTAACTGTAGCAGCCGTGGTGCCTGCGTGAAAGGTCTCAGGTAAGCGTAAGTGACGTCTGTACAAGGTCTCGATGAGTCATGCGTATCAATGAATGTTGATACGTATTCTCATCAACGTAAGGATCACGATACCTGGGGCAAATATAAGTGATATGTAAAAAATCAGGAATGCACCAAGCGCCCAATTCTGTCAGCATTTTGTTCTTATACTATTCGCGTGAGTTAGCGCGGACGAATTAGTTTGCAAAACTACAGTAAACAGGTTGTTTGGTTTCAAATACGCAAGAAAGGTAAAGAGCTATCATGAGCATACTAAGGACACCTTCTTTGGCATCGGATTGGCTAAACTGACGGTTATCAATCTCTGTTGAGCGGAGGCTTGACTGAAATACTCTCCAAAACGTAATTCTAGTACGAAACGATAGGCACAAAAACCAAAGAAGCTTCAAGAAGCTGTTCATGTGGTATATCAATACAGAAAGTAATATAAAGTCAAACACATACACATTTTATTCAAAGGGGGAACTATCCAAATGGATACTTGAGCGCCTACAGAGAAGCATTATATGCAATGTGTTGGGATAAGGGATTCTGACTTTAACCCTCTGGCAATCGATCGTGTAACCTTACCCCGATGAGCACCAAAAAACATGGATATTCACATAACTGACCACATTCACTTTCCAGGTATCGAGAAATTACACTGTATACAGATCACAAGAACCTCGAGGCGATGGTGAGCAAATGCACTGAATAATTGAGTGACGACAGTGAACAAACAAATGGAACCATAGTTAACTTTACAGTAGAACGTGGAATGGATTCGCGGACTACACAGTGAAAGGTATAGATAAGATTAAACCCAAGATAACTAGCCTAATCTTTGTTGAGTAAAACCAAAATGACTTAGCAGAGCACATAGACGGGAGGTTTTGTAAAGTAGGCTACTTCCGCCGTCGATTACATGACTTAGTAAGACCTCGTTAGGACGAAGTTGACTTTTGTGTGCCGTGTGAAAGTCTATTTTGAAGCCACGCACAAAAATGTAATTAGGATCACGGAGGTCGGTCATACGATGATAGGCACACTGAACCCCTTCGTTGTTGTTCACGCTCACCGGATGCAGTGTGCACCTACATCAGTTGGTTTGCACTTACGGATGCGAAAAACTTTTCCGCAGTAATCTGCATCAGTAACTGGAAAGGTAAACTGTACGCGAGATGACCGCTCAGTCAAGAACTGATTCGCAACAAGCACAAGAACCACGAGAGAATCAGGTCGTTTTCATCAAGTGAACACATTTAGGTCGAATTCCGCATTGAAAGTGCCGTTATTCTGATCTCATGAGATCCACATATAATCTAGGCGACCAATACAATCCACATTAGGCTCGTGGTGATTCGGGTTTGAGGTAGTGAGATCTGTTTACCTCAGAATGCGAACAATACGATCGGATCAACGGTTACTCTGCATCATTACCGTTAGCGTAACCAGAGCCTGTAGTGCTTACCCTGTATTGAATAGATTTGCTAACTCCGGACTGGAGTAAGTCGATGTATTCTTTATGTTAGGCACCAAAACGCTTGCCAGCAAACAGGGCTTAAATAATCAAGCAAGTCTGCAGAATGTATGTACTAGCTAGGGGAAGCTCCGAGATTAGCCGGATTCGTACATACTTCACCTACGCTTAACCGGTCATCCTCTTGCCCTGATGCGGTCTTTCCGGTTAGTCAACTAAGGTGCAAGGCAAGTGCGTTACTGCTAATCTAATATAGATACGAGACGGAATATGCAGTACTGATGAGGGCTAGTTAGAACAAAATTGACTCGCTGCCCCTCTTTGGTGTGCACTTACAAGAACAGTTGAGCCAGTAAGAGCAAGTCAGTGCAAAATCAATAAACTATGCAACTACCTACAAGTATGAAAAAAAGGCTTACTACCTCAACTGGGAAGTTCGGATAGGCGGCCAAATATCAGCATAACCGGGACAATTACTGGATAACGATTAAACTTTTTGACGGACGTCATACAACTTAGGCACAAACGCATCTTGTGATCCATTTGGTCGGGAAAACTAACTTTGGATTGAGAAAGAAGGTGCTTGTCTGCCAAAAGTTACCAGCAACCTTGAAGGTAGTATCGTATCAAGAAAAAATATCACTGTATTTTGAAAACCGACCCAAATGAAACGCGAGGGCTTCCGTGAAACATGTTCAGCTGGAGTATATCGTGAACGAGAAGTTTGGCCTATCACAGTCGTAAACGGGCGTTGAACCTAACATAAACGCACCTTCTGTTATGAAACTCCGTCTTGCGGTGTACCAACACCTTGCTTGCATGCAGATTTGTGACGTCACAAGTATCCCGGAAACTAAATGGGCTAAAAATATCGTAAGTTCTCAATTACCGCGGCTACATCCAACCCTTCCAGATCACATCGTGCTTCCTCTCCCGGTTGTGCTTCATATCAGCTGTAGTTAAACAAGGGCCTAGTATGCGTCATCCAAAACACTTCCTCCGCAAACTCCTCTGATCCATGTGTTCCAAGTCACAGGGGGAAAGTGCTGGTAAGAAATTTAGCCGTATTTTTTGGGTCCAAAAGGTACTCTACACTGAAAAGACGATCGATTGGTAAGAGAGATTCTCGCGGCCCCAAAATACTATGGTCAGACACGGGACTGAGGAACTTCTTTTTACCTGTATACGCTAATTCAAACAAAGAAAGCCATTGGTCTGCCCACCAACCAATGCTCCCAACCTTCATCCTTAAAATTTGGATGTAAGATCACCCTCTTCGTTCTATCTCCGCTATCATGGCAAGCACTCTCCTAGGATAACCTTTGTTCCGACTTCCTCCAAGCGTTTGCGTTCTTCAGAGTAGTTCCGTCATTGTCTCTTGATCATCATCCTTAGAGTCGACAGACTAGCTTCCAGAGGTCTCAAAAGATAAGTGAGAAACATAGAATCCTGAAGGAAATAGGAAGATGATTTGTTGTCGAGCTATTGATTTGGTGGACGCACTACACAAGTTCAATGAGAGGTTGGACACTTCGGGAATCCAGTCGAGGCGAGTCGCAAGTGGTGGGATTTTGCTACTTTTGTAAGTCCGAACACAGGTACAAAATCTGCAGAGTTATTCTTTCATGATGCGAAAATTAGTTTATAGAAGATAAGGATGAAATCAGTAGAATGAAATTGAGATAAATAATCCAATTGAACCTTTAAGCTTCATTCTGCATGCGCGTGACAGTGGGGATAAAATTCAACAAAAGTCTAACACCTAGACTGGTCATACTGAACGTTAATAAATCACCAACTAGTTGTCTACAGCGGAACTTAATCGGCCATACGTTGAAACTTCACTAAGAATATGGCGGGTTACCTCGAATAAGCCTTTCTAAGTCAGCATTATACGATGCCTGGTGACTTGGATACGTCATTGCATTTAGGGCCTGGTTGGTCAGGGCATCGTCTTCCATTCTATCGTTTAATACGCCGGCATACGTCATCATAGCGTCACACATCGTTGTTCCAGAAACCGAAGATATCCGAGGTTTTTGTATATCCGGCAAGCTTGGCACACGATCCAGATCAGAATCTGCCTGAGTGATGTTTGCCGCAGAGGCTGGAGTAACAGAATAGTCGTGCCTGGAGGCCAGACGTGCCAACTGTGAGGGAACAGAGTCTGCGCTAAGGGCCAGAACACGCATTTGGGGACAGATGGACCCAGTACTGTGGTGCCGTATCCGTAGATGAGGATGAACCGGGACGAGAGAGAGGTCATCCACAGTTGAATCTAAGGAGAATACATCCAATATCAATGACAGGAATAGCAACTGGGATCAGTTCTACAACAACGGGGTTCATGTCAAGGCTACGAAAGCGCGTTCAAACCTTTCTTCCTCATGCTTCCTGGGACAAAGTCAGCAGGCTTGGCACACTAAAATACTGTAAGGAAAAATAATGAAACGGAGAATAGACACTAGCAGCCCATTTATTCCAGTCAAATTAGTTGTGCACTCATTCGCATGTCCGAACTAGGTTACAGAGATTTTTTGGGACAGCGTCTATTCCGGTGTTGAGTTACTAATGTTTCATCAAAACTTTAATTTCCAGTACTAGCGTGGATGATATACTGCGACGTTTCGCATTCCGTGAACAAACCTTTTTATATGTAACTTGGCAAAAGTCATGTTGAAGAGTAATTCAAATGACCTCCATCCGGTTGCTTTTCAAGTACTATTTTTCTGATTTTGTTTTGCACTAAGAAACTAGGTATGGAGCAGTTTTCAAATACAGTAGGGAAACGGTCACCGACCTACGAACTGCCTGAGAGGGCAATACAAACGCGAGTTGGAGTGAAACCTGTTGTGTAGTTCTGCACTTCAAAAAATACTCACTGAGTTCAATAAGATTTGGGTCTATATTTCAGTTGCAGGACGAGCTCATCGTAGCGGAATAACACCACTGATTAACTGGATGGTAGATTTCCCAGGTACTAAAAAACACATGCACAAGTCAGCACAACCATAGCTCCATACCACCACGTAGGCCAGGAAAGTGATTAAAGTACATTCCGGCAAACGAGACATACGAGTGAACTCATATCGATAGGCACGGCTTCTCACGAAGATCGAAATACCGAGCGTGCTTATGTACATTCGCACAGTGAACTGTTGCACTTACAAGCGGGGAAACAATTGATATTAGCACCATCAAAAAAGGTCTCACTTTAAGGTTAAGTTGGATGATATTCGTTCGAAGTAATCCTGTCTAGATGTGGGCGCCCTGACAGTATTCCAGCCCACGTACAACCATGAACTGCACACATACAAATAAACTCATGTCTATCATGGTTGTACGGCAGCGAAGCATCGGTGTTGAACACCAACGTCATGCTGTCGATGATGTTCGAAGTAAGACATCTGAGGTTCACATACATACGTTATCTGATGGAGCCATTTGGCTGACTTTCCACAATGGGCATGGCCTATGTTAGTGAAATATAGCGCGGTGAGTAGTAAAGATATTATTGGGTGTTGAGCTGGCTTGCCGCGTTATACGCAATATGGTAAGATTCAAGCAGCAGAGGTACCGAATTTCGTTAAAAGCTAGGCAATGACGAGGTCAAGAGGGGGCGAAACCTTGATAGTTGGAATCACACATCGCTGAATCGTTTACCGCTTTTGGGTACCATATCAGCTGTAGGTAACGACAAATCAATTTCAAAAGACACTTACCACAAAAGTGGACTGTATTAGTCTATTCGCCCCAACCGACATCCCTTTTTGGTGTTTTTACGCGTTCTCAATGTGTCGGATGGTAATACGTACGACTAGTATGAGACAACGGATTTGAGGCATAAACGCATTCAATATACGTGTGATGCAATGTAGTCGTTGTAAGTGGTCGCGGATGGGTGGTGGGCGGATGCTTCAAATAACGTGTTGCGGCTCAGCCGGATTATAAGGGTGCGGGACAGTTTGTGGCTTAACTTGTCAGGCTAAAATTGAGAACTTTAATCCAACGCCTTTAGTCAGTCAGAGAATTCTGGATGTTTTCTTCACTTCAAACTTTGGTGTCATATGCGCTATCAACAGTTATTGAAAAGAATGTAGGATCGGTGGATGCAGAACAGCCCAACAGCACAACCACCAAACGTCACATCCAAACTGTGCCGCGGGTTCGTCTGCACCAAAGGGGTTGTAACGCTGGGCGGCAGCATTACTATAGACTCGTCATCCAACAATTACGTACGTGATCTTGGTGCCATGACATGTCAAGTGGTTCACAAAATTTATTGAAATGACGAGAAGCCAAAGAAAAAGAGAGCTTCAGGAAATGCCGGCGAGTTCCCGGATGAAAACATATGGGTTCATGAAGTTCTAGATGATGACAGTCAGTAAGAAAACGTTTTGAACCGGATTACCTAACTCGGTGAACATTATTTTTTTAGCCATTTCAGTTTACCGAACACTCTAGGGGCCAGTTACAACAACATGAGTAGTCGTAAACCGAAATATTAAAATAATTGTTACGTTTTTCAAACAAACTTGTTGTTATGATGATTCAGATGTTCAAAATACGAACTTTCAGAGAACGGGATAGATGGTCACCATAATTTTGGAAAATATCCAGAAGTGCTTTAAAACTAAGGTGAATTCATGGTCAATTAGTCAAGGTTGTCATACGTTTGATGGGACAAACACAAAACAATAGCTAGAACCGATTTGGATAGCTATCATTTACGGGTTGATGCACATTTCGCGTTGACCCAGTCTTTAGGAAGATCCAGAAACAAAGAAACAAAGTGTAAGAAGTAACTTACTGTCGCGAAGAAAAATCGGGGCTGTGGAACTCTCGTTTGGTAAAGTCTTTTGGCGCACGGGACGCTGGAACAAGAGCAACGTGAATTCATAGGGATTGGGACAGCAACGGACTTAACGTGAAACAAAACTATGGTTAGTGGTTGGTCTAGTGAAGAGTGAGCAGTAGACGTACGGCAAGTCTTCCGAACCTGACACAATGCGGAATTTTTCGTTCGTGAAAGTCTCTGGCAGGAACAACAGTTTCCAACTCAGAAGCATCCGAACTAACCACTTGCTTGTAAGGTGACTCGGCCTAACCTACCATTAGTGTCTGAGCGTGATTCAGTCAGAAAGAATACCCAAGACAATATTGAGAGAAGAAACTAAAGTATTCTGATACTCTTGCTCTACATCCCAATTTAAACGATCCCAACCAACCCAGGATTGATCCAACCGTCAGTCCTACAATGCCGTGTTACCCACTATGCACTGTACCTGAACAATTCACATGGATTAACCAGTTTAAGAATGAACACAGAGATACAGGCAGAAGTGGGACGATCAGCAAGGGTACCTATGCATCGAAGACAATCACTGGCATGCGAACACACTGAGGGGCGTGACTACGTCATAGTTACCGGGATGTGTACCCGTTTGTGTGCCCCGCCTCGGGTACCTAACTCACAAGCATGAAAGTCCCAAAGCGAGTGAACTTACTGGTTGTGGATTCGTCAAGTAACGACACAGTACCATCCATTCTGTGTCTACAGTGCATACGGGCTCTTCGGAACACAAAACACGTGAGCAAGCCAGCGCACCGTGTTTATCATTAGGAGGGGTTAATTCCTCAAAAAACATTGAAGTATTTTCAGAGATAGGTTCTCAGACTAAATAGAACCAGAACCCCACTATTTTGTACGCCTACCCTAGTTGTCATTGCCCCCAAGGGTTGACAAAGAAAAGTGATATCAGCAGCAACAAGGCCGCAATTACAGGAATGCAAGTAAGCTAACGGATGTCAAAGTCCACTCAAATGAAATGAGATCGATGATGCTCAGTTAAAAAATACTGGAAAGTTACGGTTGCAGCGCCTGCGTTCAGTTAAGAAGGGGCAAAGATAGTGCCAATACAAGCAAAAGTGATACTGAACTGAGATCACAAGCAGCTGAGCTCTCTGATTACCCTGAACAAAGTGTTAAGCACGCACCCAAAAGCGATGGTAACTGAATTCAGAAGGGTTAGTTGGACCGGTTTAACAGGGCAAATGAGTTTATTGGACTTGCCATTAGGCGAGGCATCAGAAAGGCGATAAACGCACAAAAATATTGAGGCACATTAAGTAACACGTGAAAGAAATCACTAGGACACGTGACCGCGCAGATCAGTGGTAGCAAGTTAAAAATTAACCGGACAGCCTACAACAGATCAGTTAAAAATGCCCAAATTTACCTGTATAAGCATGGTTCCAACAGTTGCAGTCAGAATGATGATTATGCACATAATGCACCGAAGAAACAAGCAGTAAAGAGATGATGGCATGAGTGAAAAGCTATGGGCACACACAAACTAAACAGGCGTGAGGACAACGAACAAGCAGAGGAAGTGCTTACCAAATACCCAGTTGGATTAACACCCACGTCATTATCGGCTATCAACGGAAAGTTTATAACAGGACGTGGTTGCGAACGATTGCGGAAAGGAGGGTGACGTCGGCGAAGCAATTCACCATTCAACATTGACCTCGTTGAACTTCGTTCTCCGTTCACCAGCTCAGCTTGCTCCGATAACCATTTAGATAGAGGACCGGATTGAACTTTCGCTAACGAGGCGGCGGAATCCGAACTAATGGCTTGATTAGGCGAACAATTCCTCCCCAGTTGAGAATGGCTAGCGGTGTGTTTGGAAGTGGAAACATTACTCGACTGCTCTGGAGAATGAACCGATTCCGGTGGCGTTATTTCCACACTAGTTTGATAACGACAGCATTCAGGTGAACAGGAAATAGCCGATCGACCTGAAGTGTGGGCGTTAGATAATTTTGATCGGGGAAAATGATCCCTTGGAACAGACACATTGAGTCCACCACCAGAAGCAGTGAGCGGAGCAATGTGGGCATCTCGCGGTTCTTCGGTGTCTGAAGCTAGTGCTACAGCGGATTTAGTGTGAGTGGAATTGAGCTTTAGTTCGTGATCCGTAACCGGACGAGTGATTACAAATCTACCAATCCCAATGCTTTTGATCGGCGCTGCGGCATTATTTATGGATACAATGACTGGCTGCGCGGCTTCTGGCTGGTGATCCGTAGTCAAGAGCTCTGAAACATCTTTACGCTTTATTCTTGGTAAATGCGAGACAGAAACGCCCTCAGATGATGGATGGGTACCATCCACAGTACTTGATGCGTGTGGCTTCCCTGTGGCTGAAGTTTCTTCTGCCTGTTTTTCTTCACACAGCCCCACTTCTTCATCTTCAAATACATCACTCGCGCTACCCGTTGTGCAGCCGGTAGAGGCGACTGCCACAGACTCCCTCCAAAACTTTAAATTTTGTAGCCGTTCGACAACCGTCTGATATTCATGTATTGTCTTCAACTCAGACGGCATTGGAGACTTCGATCCGGATCTTTTCTTCAACGCATCGAACCCAACTTGTTCTTGTCCAGCGTCTGCCGTGCACTGTGACGGAAAGAAGGAGTGCCTGGCAGGACATGTTGCATGGGAGCAGTAATGGGTAACCGGACCAGAGGTTCGATCCAGCTGACTGCCCGACGTACAATTGCTCGCAGAAGGCGTTCCAGGTGTCACCGGGCAAGATGAAAGGGAATCTCGGTCCTTCGGACGGAAGGAATGTGCATGCGCAGAATCACAACTGCCTTTACCCAATGAAGTTGCACTGCTTACCATGCTAGCTTGTGAATTCAAACGCTACAGATGCGAAAATAAGTTGGGAAGATAAAAATACAACGGTGACATTTACAGTACCAACATTCAGGGAGCCGAAATAGAAGCGAAAGGATCAAACATTTATGGGATTAGCGACGCCAAGAGAAAAGCACACGGTGGGTGAAGGCAACACGCACCGGCCAAGCGGTAAGCCGTAAAAACGGAGCAAAGAAACGTCAACCAGGTAAACAACACATAATCACACACAAACAATTGTCACACCGCGATTAACAGAAAATTTGCACAGTATAATGGTGAGGGACATACATGATAGCAGACATGGTAAATAGAACATACGTGACAGGTGGGACAGCACATGTCGAAAGGAGGGAGTGAAAAGTGGAATAGACCGTAATGAGTGTGTGGTGAATGCAGTCGGTAGAAAACAAACATCTAACTGGATTCAAACAGTGACGAGCAAGAGAGAAGGTGCGACAACAGTAACTGACAGTGGTTTGACCCAGACGAAACCCGAGAACGGACAATGATTTCGAAAAGACAACGCTAGTAACCAGTATTCGAAACGACCCTGACAAAAGACTTTAAAAATACAACTATTTTAGACATCTTTTTAGAGATAGGCAGGGTGATTTAGTAAAAGTCTAAGAATGCACGATGCGGCTGATCGTGGGCAGAACGAAACTGTTTTGCCCGTCAGAGTGAACTTACCACTCACCGATAACACGGGTAGAAAAGAACCGATTTCGACAATAGGCGAGGCAGTGCAACTGTGCAGTAGCAACTAGCAAAATAGATATTTGATATGGACCTAAGCACACATGATCCAAACGAAAGTGTAGAGTTCACGTACAGGACTAGAGCCCGCAACAAGGAGTTTGTGAAACGACTGCAATGGAGATAACCATAGAGAATGTGCCGGATATCATCCAACTTGTTCATTTTACATATAGAAGCAATGACCGAATTCAATTGCCATCATTTTTCACGGTGTTGCGAGAAGAATGGCCCAACTCAATAGAAGACTTTGGAGGCAAACAGTAGGAGAGTGACGGCAATGCGGTCATTTTATTAGCGGTGACCTTATGGAACCAGTATAATACGTCACGCCAAAATTGTGCCTTTACCGGAGAGTCAGTTCGTGAATAGATTACAATCTTACTGTCTTGACATCCTCTGCTTCTCAACCTTCACGCGACTCGAAAGCAACAAGGTGAATGAGAAATCCCTGAACTGTACAAGCCCTAACAAGACCAACTGAAAGGTATGGAATGAATGCGAAAAATATCCCACAGATAAACAGACTTCCTCCATGGAACAGGCGACATATTCTGCACCAGATGAACGAAAATTTGATTGTCTGCAGATATGTTGCCGACTTTTTAAACTGTAGGATGGTTTCACTTCCACGACAGATAGTCTACAACTTTAAACATATGCAAAGGAGATATTCCAATAAGTAGGAATACTGCTGATATTCGCGCACACATTACCGAGTCATTTCAGTGCACCGACATGGACCCACATAAGGGCCATAATCCCTGACCGTACAGATCAGTAAGAATTAGTAAACCATATGCTACACTGGAACAGAAGCATGTGCTCGCCTTCTCGGCATTATCATGGAAATCCTAGGACTTATATAATGATCAGCATTCCCTTTCCAGGTGAATATTTTACGGTTCATTGCAATTTTCTACCGTTGGCATTTTCAAACCGCAGAGAAGCTGTGAGAAATGATTCAAACGATCGCCATGATAAATAAGAAAGGAAAAAGCCCATTAATGTCAAGGGGCTATACAGTATTGTTAGTGGTAAGTGTCGGCAGTGAAGCATCGGTGTTGAACACTGATGTCATGATGATGATGATCATACAGTAGCAGTGGGAATTAGAGTGAATGTGGGCAATCAACTCAGCGCCAATCGCGAAGAGCTGTGGAGTTTCACCTTGGGTAGGAAATCAGTCATTTCGACAACTTATAATTACATCTTTTTCGTCTATGGATAGCTCTCCGAGGGGAGTCTGTGGGATAAAACACCCTATTTCCTAAGACCGCCTCAAATAAGATTGTTCTTCTTGAAGCGATTGGTACGGTACCAAGATCTGAACAAAAGAAATGAACGTCAGTAGGCAGGCTAAGCTGCAACGATGGGAGTCGCGCAAAAAACAGCAAAAACATCACAAACCTCCAACTTCCCAGGTCTGAATCCACTTCCTTCGAGTTGATCGTGACAAAGAGCGAAAGCACCGGGACTGAAGTGGAGCTCCACATGGAAGCGCTGCTCAGTTTTTGGCTCCTATATGGATAAGAAAAACGAGTGCAAATCAGAAGTGAGATTGTAATAGGTATCGGAAATGAAAACTGGAAAACTGGACAATCGGAGTGCGGGATCCTTAACCCGATGAAAATCTCAGGGCAATTAAAAAACCACCGGTGTGTACACTTAGTGGGGTTGATGATCACTGCCCACTAATCCTACTGCTGTTGTAGGCAGGGCGACAAGATTTCAATACACTCTGTATATCCAAAGTTAAAATATTGACTAAACTGAGCCCAATCCAGTCAAGAGCTATCTAGTGACGTGGCAGGTTAGGCTAGATTATGTGCAATGACAAACTCGAATACTGATCAATGGTAGGGGACATTCTAACTAGGGTATACAGGGAAGCCATTTAGGGAACCGGAAATTTACTCCTCTTTGGTGATGGAGGATTGTCCCCCGAGAGTGGGAGATATTCAGAGGAGGAATCCTACGTCCCCAAAATCATCTTCTCAGTCGAAGTTTTCCTCATATAGAATGTCGTGAGGGGATGGTGTATCGTACAGTCACCAGCTCAGATTTCGAGGAAGCTGATGAAGGTCTTTTAAACTCAAGTTTTCGACGTATATCCGCGGACAGAATGCTCTATTAGTCAGTGGTCTAGCTGCACTAGACAACCACATTTGACGACAGTCAAGTTAACAGCGGGTTTACTCTGATCATGCAAGTCGATGTGCCTTAGACGCTTCAATTCTTTGTTCTGTTTTGAGTTAATGTTTCACATAATATTGTCCCTCATTACCCTTATGGCTTTAGAGGTGTCTACAGAGCAACACTCACTCATTCACTTTGCTTACTTCGGCTAACCTGTTTATAGGAAGTTGGCAAAAAATGATGTTTGATTTTCGTTCGACAAACGTATCCTTACCGTTAAAGGTTATCGGGTTATCAACTGCATTCCTTCACCGAGAAGTTTGCAGAGAGTTACCATTGTTTGAAAAAAATATTTACGTCAAACATTCTACAGATAAGTTGCTTAGGAGTGTTATACTAGCATACGGTACCTGTTTCCATAACGTACAAAAGAAACGATAAAGCCAGGCACACATAAAATTCTTTCGTGTTCGTCTTCCGTGAGCGCTAAAGTGTGTCATAGATGGTTGGTGCCTAGATTGATGACCAGGGGGGGGGGAACAGCAGTTTCAAGCATGGGTTGACTGGTTGACCATTTGGAATTTAGGATAACAGCTAACTGATAAATATCGATATCAGTTGGTTACTTAAAAGTCAGTGTGACAGAAGTGAGATGGCGGCGGGCTAAAAACAGATCAGAAAGCGATTGGGACTTGAGGCACACAGGTTTGGAAAGAAAGCCGACGACCATAGCAAACGACATTGACACCGCCGTATGAAGCTAGATTTCCCTGCCAAAAACCAAGGAAGGTACTACACGGCTGCTTTTATTCCGATTAAGAACAACTAGCAGTTTGATACTCATAGCTGTAACTTCTATTTGGAGGGGACAGTTGACTTCATTCGCAATACTTCAGAAGCGATATACCAAATCCTGCACCTTCGGCAACCGGATTAATTATCCCCTAGTTATTGTCCCCAGCGATTTTAGCATTGGCACATATTAGGCGAAAAGCATATCGGTGATAAGAAATGTAGCGCACGCCGTACTTACCGAAAACGTGCGGCCCTAATACCCTGCAGAATTTCAGACCAGTAATGCCAGTGTTTCTCGAGAGGATGAAAAAGCCGTTTAGCCCTGACATTCTGAACTGGTGATGATGCTGATTGCACGACACAAGGAGACGGGAATGGAGGGTTCAGCTGTGACTTACCACCGTTGGGTCTTCATAAATCATAATGACAATCTGAGCTAAATAGTTGATTTCCGACACAGAAGCCACATAGTCCATAGCCCGACGCCACTGTTCATCCGTACATATGTCGGTCAATTCACCATACCTCAAACAGGTTAGCAGAGAATGCAGATGGCTTTCACTGGTGAAGTAAAGACGAGTTCGGACGAATCGTTCGGGAGAGGCAACACCCTTAGAGTAGCTATACAGAATGGCAAGAGGAAGGTAGGAAAATTCGTGATTTATTCTGAACAGTTCAAGGCGGAAGCATGTTTAAACAACGGTCAGCAGAGATGGAGAGAAGTAAATTTAGAACCTTCGTCAAGATGGTGCTTAATACCCAAGTGGTAAATACCTATGAATACCCTTTCCTAAGTTTGAAGCACCGTCAATGAAAAGAAAACCAAGGATAAAGTATCATGTACGTTGGTTTATCTTGTTACTCACACCCAAAGATTTCGGAACTAAGCCGGTGCGGTGAATATAATTATGATTTCGAGGACGACTGTAAAAGTCGTGGTAAAAGAAGTCGTGCTCATAGCTTGTAAAACCGTTTGCCAAAGGTCATATGTACACCCCACCGAACAAGAAATCATCAAGATCAACAGGTCTCATTGATGCCGAGAAAAGGATATCAGCAAACGAGGAAAAGGATGACACATGTAGATCCTTTTGAACGTTGGTAATTGACAGGGAGTACAGGTGGACAACAAAGATCTTGGAGGCTGAGGAAGCCTGCCCGACGGGAAAAGTCGATCCTTATTATAAATAATTCGATCGGCTGGTCTGTGAAGGGGCGGATGAAGGGGAAACAATCTCCGACAAAGGTGGGACCTCAATTTATTCACACAATGGGTAGAACATCTTGAACGTTCATCTGGTCCGCATCACCCCAACCTCTAAAAAAACCACATAAAATTGAATAAAGAGCCGACACCAATTAATCATCGACGGCAGAAATGTAGAATGATATTTAATTCCTCTGCTACAGCGGGTCGCCTGACTGAGACGGTTTGCATCCTGCGCCCACAACAGAAGATGGCCAGCTTGACGAAATTACCACCAAATAGGTGGAATGAGGACCATTTATCGACAGAGCGGAGCACTTCGACCTGGTATACAAGTGTGCAGGAAGATAGAATGAAAATGACCGGGACGTCAGCCGCACGTTCCAAAATGCTCTGATATCCATTATCTGATGAGAATGAAGCGGGGATTCATTTTGACACAGGTTGTATCAATCATATTTCCACTTTGTGACAAGTGCTCGAAAGTCGCCATTATTTCCGACGGCCAGTAATGGGTGACTTTCTCGACCCTAACGCTACTTTTTGTTTCACTGATCGTCAGGAACTCATGAAGGCACTATGAGCCTATTTTAGTGGAAGCACACGGGGCTACAGCAAACGTTTACCGGGCTCAGTAAATCCGGTGGTGTCAGATAAGACAGCCACATGCCACCCTGTCTGTTCAATTTCGCACTACATATGCTGCCTGGGAATGTTTTGCCAGTTTTTATGACATCTCGGGGATTGGAATACTCTCAGGGCGCTCGCTCCCAAATATGGAGTACGCTAGCGATGTCACTTCAGAAATACAGACCATTTTAATTGGTCTAAATTATTCTGCTACACAGTTGGGCACACACTTCGTACTTGCCAATTAGAACGTGCTACTGCAGAACTCGTGGGATTACACCTAAATCCCATGCCTGAAAACGAGCTAATCAATTCGGTGGAGGAGTCGTCATATCCAGCCAGCTGCATAAGTTCTGGCGAAGTGAGGAAACACGTAATCACTTCGCAGGTCGGTAAGCCCAGGGAAGCGTTTGCCAACCAACGTTTGTGGCGTCCGCAGGACACCGATTAGGCATTCAAGGGTAGAATGCATAACATTGGGATGAGACCAGTCCTACCTTACGTATCCGGAACACGGCCTTGTGTGTAAAGGATCTTCAAGAACTCTCTGTATCTAACCATGGGCGTCCCCGAAGCACCGCATTAGTAAGACTGAGATAGGCCACATGGTGCATAGAAAAAGTAAAGCAGCCTGTCACACTCGATAATTCATGCAGCTTCGGCCATGCAATTCGTACGTTACGTCGATACTAAGCTTGCTCGCTCCTTTTCTTATAAGAAAAACGATTTAAAGTCGATGAACTGACTGAGCGCTCGCCTCCCGAGTGCGACTGTATTCGCTTATTCTCCTTACCCAAGGTGTTACGGCCAACTGGCTGTTTGGTTTTATGGTATCATGCTGGCTTCAAGCCGGTCCGGCTATAAGCGCCCGCGTTGGCGGTTATCAAACCTACTTGAGTATGTAGTTACATTAATTGAGCTAATGAAGTTATTTAACTAACCGCCCTGGGAACACTGTGCACGTGCTAATTAATCATACACGGCTACCTCGGTTGGATATGTGAGTGGTAGAGACAGGTATCGACTAAATAACCAATGACATATTATTCACTAAGCCTAATGCAGGTGGCCATGTCCAGCCAATTGTCCGAAATTCCGAGCGGCGCTATCTAACTGGAGCTTGAGTGTGTGTAGAAGTTATTTTGATTATCTGATTCTGACTATAAGTAACCGATATTTCGAATGATTAGCGGCTTATTGTTGCCATTTTATTCTGTTTGACTTGCTCATCATTCTTCCGCCAACCAAAGATAATTGGGGGTGTTGTATTCTCGGGCAAGAGACTTTGCCGACCAAAAAATCGGAGAAACTCTGCACACGCTGCACTAGTATTCTCTAGCACAAAGACGGCTCCTGGTGTCCTTGAGACGGCCTTACTACTCTGGGTATTCCTAAGTGGTGAAGGTGGCAACTTCCTATGATCACCGTTGCACAGACCACACTGACTGTTGGCTTACGTTAGCAAGCTGTATGCATTTGGCACCAACGCGCTATCTTCTAAATAGAATGTAGGTCTCAACAACTGCCAGTCCGGACCATCAGTTGAGTGTGATGGTGGTCTGAGGGCTACCCTTCCTTAGTCAACCTTCAATTTTGCACTGGGTACAAGGCGTTGCACCCAGTAACTATGCGACAATCTACAGCAATCTGTCCATGGCACTACCTGTTGTGCGCAGGGCTATCAACCGATTTAGAAATAAATTCCAGGCCCCCATGGTCCCTGAGGTGAATGTATGATTTCAAGCACGAAAATAGGTTACAAAAGAATAGAAAACTGTCGTCAGTGTACGAAAGCACAGGCGCTTTCTGCCCTTTCAACGAAATACGTCCATTTTACCACTTCGCCCATCAGATCATCACACTCTGTCCCGCTGCGATGCAGATGTGTCCACTTGGAAGATGCGGCATTGTTACAGTACTACGAGTGTTAGCGTATGGGATCGTTGTGTTGACCACTGAACTATGTCAAAAATTGTCAGACAAGATATTTGTTTCATGATCCATGAGTTCAGTGATTTGTTATGAATCTGAGTGGCCACATAAGAGAGTTCACGGTGCTGTTGGAAATTACGTGATGGTCAACGTGGCTTGGGCGCAGTTGGCAACGGATGTTTTATGTTTCATAGTAAACTGTTTGTCATTAACTCATTTTTGTTTTTCTTTAAGAACAGAGCCTAATTTATAGTTTGAAAAAGGCTCCAGACTTAAAAAATACAGAGAACATAATGAGGGAGTCACGGAAAAAAACACTAGAATATGGTCACGATAGGAATTAATGTTTCGTTCAATGATAGGTCAGGTAATTCTAAAAAACAGAAAAACAGGGAGAAAACACCACACATAGTCACAGTACAAGAGATTGATAACAATCACTCTGGACGAGACCCAATTGGACCTACTACATTAAGAATTATGAGCTAAAAAGTCGAATATTGTTAGGCATTTGTTACTGGCTGATTGTGACCATTTCATAGGATGCAGGAATGGCGGCTAATTGATGATACGGACGTTCGTGGCGTCTGTATTTTTCAGATTGCCTGATTGAGCGCTGGGAGATGTAGGGCAGGCTAGCACCAAGTCCCTCCCTCGCCCACTTTTTTCTCTTCTTTTAACCTTAGGGCCTAAAGTATAGTTAACTAGACTTTGTGGTTCATCAAATACATCTATTTGCACATCAGTTTGGTTATAATTTTGTGGATGTACGGCAGTGAAGCATCCGTGCGAACACTAGTGTTGCTGTCTATGGTGATGCTGATGATGCAGAAAAGTCTCACAATTTCACTGCTTTAGGAGGCACCCTTGAAGTAATCAAGCTTGCTTGGCATTTAACTAAGTCCATATTCGGGCTTTAGCAAGCTGACAACTTTCGTACACGCTATACGGATCTCGGAGTTCCAATGATGAGGCTAAAACAACGACAAAATTTACCAACCTTATACAACCGATTGCGCGACGAAAGGAAGTACCACACTTACACAAAACGAACGATCTACATTTACTGATCATGGGAATATTTCCAGAACCTGGGAACCTTGGGTCCGTTACCAGATAATCCTGAATTTCGCCGGTAGCTAAGTTACCACAGAAACACCGTGATCTTGGCCACGAAATAGACATATGGTGCACGTTTAGGACAAAGCCTACGTAAAGATCTGTTGCGACCACCTCAGTCGGCGCAGATTTCACACCTTTCAAAACTGCACTGAACCTCAGGGACCACACAGTGTGTATGGGGCCTACACAACTGTAAAAAACCACCATCTGTTCTAAAAACCCTATTCCTGTGTGGGCTAGGAACACATCCACTCGATTACAATACGAAAAACATTTAAGAACGACGCCAGCTGTCGATAAATATACTCATTAGCATACAAATTTGGTTTTGACACTCCACGAAAGGTGAAACCGGTTGAGGGCTATCGATGAGTCTTCAGCAGCCTTATGAGTAGTTTCGCGACTGAACAATGCCAGTTGTATTTACAGTTTGGATGCATAAAGCTAACCTGCAAACAGCATAGTTGTCCTGAGAGTATGGAAGAGCGACTAAAGCCTATTAATGCCAAATTAACACCCTAAGATATTGATGCTACAAACGTGCAGGCTCTCGTCACCTAATTGAGCGAGAATGCGTTCAGAGTCCTTCAGCCGTCAGGATTCAACCATTCTGGTTTATTTACACCAGAGTAGGAGTACTGGAATAGCATTTCGCTCTTATTAAAACTCGTTATCATTGCTCATCTTGCCGAGTTCTGAATCTCAAATGGCTGAAATGCCAGGAAACCATGCTACCAAGACTCCACTAGAGCACGCTGGACGCATGCGAATTATAAAATATAGACGCCTGATAGATAGGTCCGTCGACCCATACAACCGGGAGGATTCATCGTAAGTAGCTCGAACCGCTGAAGAATGGACACGTTTGACTGTTCAGAAGTGTATGCAGCGTGCAATGATGGAGCAGTAGCAGCACGCTCCCCGTGAATGCCATGACCCCCCAGTCCGGCACGGCTACGCACTGCCGATAGACTCTTAAAACCGACAATGGAGTTCAGTAGTTCGCATTCTGATGTGGACAAACCAGAATAATCGGACAAGGATAGGAGGACTATTATGGCGAGAGCGAATTCCACATCTACTACAACTGCACAAGAATTCCTGAAGCCGATCGATTGAAGTTTCACCTACCGCATATTTGGCCCACGTTCTGAACTTAAGGCTGGTACAAAAACCGAAACAATTGTTGGTTGAGGTGGGAATGGAGTTTTCGCACTCTTTTCTTGGTTAGCACTTCTCATTCCCTTGTAACTCAACGGACACGAATCAATGACCAATGACAGATAATAGAGAAAAATTCGAATCTTGGCCATTTCAATCAGGATTATCAGTTACTCTTTAGAAACAAACAACTACTCCTCACTGATTTGAGAGTCAACCTCTTGTTAACAAAGGACTGATAAGATGTGGAAACGACTGCAACAGTAATCCATATGACTACTTTTAAGGTTGACGATAACTATGTGGTAGCCCGCTACAGGTTTCTTCCGGCTTGGAAATAAAGAAATATGCATAGAAATACTGCCGGGAGGCAGGCCATCTCAAATCAGCGTTAACGAAAAAGCCCTCCAATATCAAACAGAACGCTTCCGTGGGGTCTTGATGTGACGGCAATCAATACATACAAACGCCTCATATCGAATATTTGAGAATGAGAACGCGAACTAAACAATAAAGTAAGGGAAATTATGAAAGCCGTATCATGCAACATGAAAAACTAACATAGATAGTTAATTCCGTCGCATGCCTTTCACTCAAAACAGTTACAATGAAAACGACGTGAGGATGTAACCCATGCACAGCAACGTATATACATTCGTGGAAAATAGGTTAGTTTTATAGGTAATTGTAGTCTGTTCGCCGTGTGAGAGCTGCGAGCAGTTCAGGCCACATAGCTTCTAGACAATACTGAATACAATATGTCTACAACGCGCTCACTGAGCCCAAACTGACCCAAAAAGCGAGTACGACAATTTGCATGCGGATGCAAGGGCGCGAGAAAAAGCTAAACAGTCTTGCGGGCTTTTTGTTCGTAGACAGGAGGACTAGAACAAACGGCACCAACTTGAAGGCGAAATTCGGCGACAAATAACTGGTAAATACTGACGTGTAATATGGGGGTTAGTGGTGGATTTATGAGACAAACACCGTAGTGTTTGCAGTGTCAGCAGGGATGTAGGAAGTAACAGCAAACTTACGAGCGAAAACTATCAATGATTGCGAAGGTGCAGGAAGCAGATGGAGCAATCGAGCACACACACACACACACGTACAGAAATGAACACACTTAACACTTATGGGACGGGAAAAAGTAAAACAAAAGGACGCACCAATCAGGACACGGGGAACCATTATTCGGGCGATGTCTATATTGACGGAAAACACGAGAAGAAAACCGACATAAGAAGATACCAAATCAAAAGCGCTTAATTCGGATGGTATATAAACCAGATGTCGAATACTCAGGCTCTTCTTCCTCAAATCAAACTGAACACGAATGACGGACAAACACAAGGATGAAATCCACTGGGAACAAAAACAGACGAATAAGCTGGAAATTGCCTTTCTCTTATTGTTTTTGTGCATCACGCAAAGCAGGGCCATGCAAAGAGGAGTGTTTTTGACGCGATTGACTTCTAGGTGTCAATTTCCTCGCATTTGCCTTGGTGTTCCCAGAAAACATGTACTCCTTTACCAGATGCGCGGGGGATAAACCAACATGGATTAGCCACGAGCGTCTCACAAACCACACATATTTGACAAAGGAGTTTGTTCTCATAGTACTGCCCTATGAAGGTAATATATTCCACGACATAATGGGTGAGTGGCAGTTTGTTGGAAGCGGGTGCGGTATGGAAGCCAGAAGAAAACAGGTTTGAAGTGACAGTGACGAGTAAGGTTCATGAACTGGGGAGACGATCCATGTGCCAGAAGTCTGTTGACCACAAGAATTGATGGAAGTTTCGTCGTGTAAGTGAAGCCAACCTACGCCGAAAAGCCGGGAGGTACTGCACATCTGTTTCATCTTTGTTGGAAAGCATCAGCAGTACACACCTACGAAGTTCCAGGGAGATTCGAACCGATGACCTATCCGTTGAGAGATACGCCGAAAGCGGCTGATCAGCATCGCGATTAGCTCATACCTAGACAAGACTAGTCCCTTACTCACAGAATTCACATGAAGTGGTTGCGCACTCACTGGTTTCTCGCTTGACCTCTTTTCAGATGTGCGGCTCACATGTCGTGTCAATTATTCTTCTTTCTAGCCACTCAGTGACTAAAACGCATCACTGAGAACACGTAGAAAATGGCTGTTGGTCAAGCGGCAGTCAATCTGTGAGCTTGTCTTACAAACGTTCGATCACAGAGTAAAAGGACATTATTCGTGTGTGGCTGAGTGATATATTGCCAACATGTAGCGGTGTCCCGAAAGGTGTACCCCACACTGCAATTACCTTCTTCCCCCTTGTGAACCCCAAGTTGTAGTAGTGGGTACTGTAACTAGGCGAAACAACGCTAAAACGCATGAAGAAAGACTATACGACAAACACCAACCTCCTTTTCATTGATACCCAAGGAAGTCGCACCTTGCAATGGCGCGATTATGTCAAATAATTAAGAAGTCAGTGTTCTGACCAAGGATAAACCTGGAGAACCGAAAGAGCACACCGGAACCGCACTAACGTATCCATGCATTTCACGTCAAGATTGGATAACGATAACTTGAGGGCTGAGGTTCAAACTATTGACGTCAAAGTTCGTAGTTAAAAGCCAACCATGGCCTTTCGACTGTTCCTGTGCAATTTTGAACAAAACCCGACTTCCTATGCTACTTTTCGGCTGCAGGACAGCAGTGTAACGAGATGATTCCATAGCTACATGACCCGGTTGTCTTTCGACGGAGAACAAAAGCTAGCCCGGTATGGCTAATGAGAACTCAAGTTCAGTTCGGGTCTCAACATATTGGTGATGTTGATCGTGATCAGATGGTGTCTGGCAATTCATGGAAAGAGGTAGGTACATGTCGCTGAAAAATTTCCGAAGACCATCTGAGGGACTACGTAAAGAACATGGAACAGCAAAAGATGAGTAGGATATGGGACGGAGAATCCACCAGCATAATAAATCAAAAAGCCGGTTTTGAATGTATTCATTCAAACAAAGTGCACCGGCCGATGTAACATATGTATACTACACACCCGATGGGAAACAACTTCGCTAAGCCCTCGAATAGCTTGTCAGTTATGCAACAAGAGGGGCAGCGCAAAAAGAAACAAGCTATCAACTGGGTTTCCCCAAGATACTGGACAGATGTACGAAGGTCTAGTTTTTAAACTGATACAATAGACAACAGAGTAATAGCTACATAAAATATGCATTCTTTTGAAAGTCGATGCAATGTTTTCTGTGAACTGTTGGTCAAAATGCTAAGTTCACAAACCACAATGCAGTTCTTCCGGAGTACATCAAACCCTACCAAACTGTGTTCTTCAGAGTCAGACTTCTACTCCAAAAGTTTTGAACGTACAGGCTTAGGTATTCGTAACTTGACAATGGTTCGGCCGATTAACAAATATAATTCTTTTACCCAAATAAGCCTTAAAACTAAGCTGGATGTCCTGTGGATTGAACTTAACTCCTCGTCTAACTGGACCAATTCAACCCCAAGTGTGCTTCGGATTCATATGTAACAGCAAAACGGAGCAGTATAACAAGGTGGACAACCAAGGATCATATAATGCATCAAATGAACCACATTATTAAACAATGCCTCCACGAGCTACAGAATACATTCACAGCAACTAGCTAGGAAAGTAAACCTTGGTCGGTGGACACCATTGTCGGAAACCAAATCTGAATTTTAACATCCTGCTGATTGTGAAACGACGCAACGAACAATCACCAGTGAGGAAAACACCTCGCCTAGCTTACCCTAAATCCGGCTACGCATCCTATCCTCATCCTACACACACACACACACACACAAGCATGCACACAAGCATGCAGGCAGAAAAAACTTTGTCGGGACTAAGTTGGGTGAATGGTGCAACCGGAAAACACAGAATTTACTGAACCCCTTGAAGTTAAGACCAGACGGTATCCAATCACAACGGGAGTTTTGGCAACTCTGTGCACATCTAATACGAAAGTTCAGAAACTCGGTTTGTACGGCCAAAAACAACACCAACAGGAGCAATATATATGCAACCACTAACTTTAGTTATGCGCAAACGCGCAATTTCAGCTCACTAACTGTGTTTTTACCAACACGAATGCATCCATAGTCAGCATGAACATTCGAAAGAGCTTTTCAACAAAAAAAGAATGTTATGTGCGGTACCGGAGATAACACTAATATGCTGTTGTGATATAAGGTGATGCCAATGTTGAGAGTGCCTGTGAGGCATTTCGAGCGAAGTGCGGTTCATTGACGAGGCTGAAAACACTGATGAGCAATGTCAGCATAAGATTGAGTGCAAACGTGACTGGGGATGATACATAACACCACGTCCTGCTGTGTGCAAACTGTCGACCGTCCAACCAACGTGCGGGGATGTCTAGAGGGATGAATATAGCTCAGCAAATAAGCTGAGGGTTACTAAGTGGAAGCACCAACCAACGCTGGAGTTTTAACTATCACCGACTAGATTAAGGTGGAATCCTACTCCTCGTGCTCCGTTCAGATAGCGTGACAGCTCTGTACTGAAAGTATTGTGGCTTAGATTTAATTTTTTTGGTCCGAGCAGGCTGATGGATAGATGTGCATCACGAGCCAGAAAAGCATTGCCACAGACCACAGTTTTGCGCGTTAATACTAACAGAAAATAGCAGCTGATTTCATTGTCAATCGAAATATGCAAACTCTTGGTCTGACGTAGGATTCAGCTTCACACCGAACTCAAGGAAACCGGACCAAACGGGGAAGATAGTGTCTTAGCTGGGGAAACGACTGGCAAGGCCAGAAATATGCTTGATAGAATTAGGATACACGTCGAAAAGACTAAAATGAATTAAATCTCTGGAAAGTTAAATTAATCCGAGGTGACCGAGTGTGATGAAATCAACAGACTCATAATGTAAAATGTCTTGCACAGTGATATTTCAGTCACAGGTCGGACTTCACTGACCCGATGTTAATTGCATTCTATCAAAAGCGACAGACGTGGAAGAAACTCATGATATGAATATTGTAATACCTGGAAACCACAGAACAATCATTCCTGACGATGTGCTTATGGTGAGTGGACGAAGATATAGATGGTGATTGAAAATTCCGGTTCACAATATACGCGGAATTTCAGCAGAAGGTAACACAGGTACCCAGTTTAGGTGTGGAAAGAAACCCAACTGGAAGAGTTCTAATGGTTAAATTCCTTATCTTTTCTGTAGGCACCTCCGAAGTCTGTCATAGGCTAGTACTAAGATCACTCTCATTCCCCGTTTATTTCTTCGCAAAAGGACCTTGTCCAAACACCGCGTTCTGACTACCAGACAATGAAGCGCTGGAAGGTCGCTGTCAAGTATGATATTCAAGAAAACCGCAACTTCTGACTGCGTTACAACCTCCTGCTCAGTTCCAGCCCCTTCCAAGTAGCAGGATTCAGAGAAGGCTCAACCGTAACCAGTTATCAAGAATGATGCAACGGAGTTTTGTTTGGATTTTAAGCTTATGTGATCCTGATTATAAAAGAAAGAAGGGTAGTGAGAAATGAATAATAAAAGGTTAGAGAAAAAACGAGGTGAGTCAAGGGAGCGACCGTGGTTACAGTAACAGAATACAACAGCTATGACAAAAAGGGAACGTATAGAGAAACACATTTTTTCAATTACTACTCACAATATCACAGCAGCCGAGTGCTTCACTTCACCTGCACCTCAAACTGTCACGTAAAATTTGCTTAGGTATAAAGACTCTCCAAAAGCCAGTAAGACAGGTCCAGTCATTCGAAACCCACAAATGAACGCCGGCTGTAAAACTCCACGGTAATAGAGAGAAATCTTGGTAATTGATCAGGTGGCTGTTGATCTGTTCGCTGAGCTTGACAATTGATTTGCAAACGTTTCGTCACCATTCGAGGAGACATCTTCAGTGCGCTGTTGGTTGGGTTGGGCCTCCCTTCGTGCCTGCGTTTATATAGTCTACAAAGAGCAGCCTTTGCGCTGTAACCTGGATTCTGATTGGCCCGTTCTTGATCTGTGTTGCGTCGTGGTCGGCTTCTCTGTGGGTTTGTGGCGTGCCTCCTATTTTTAGTAGCCTACTGTTCTATTGATTTCTTCTTTGAGTCTTTGTCCGGCTTCGGGTTCTGTGGTTCTGGATTTCCTTTGTCCTCAGAGGCTGGTAGGCAGGATCAATCTCAATGCGCCT